TTGTTTAGGAAGTGGATGCCATTCCTGCTTCCAAATCTGTCTTAATCTGAGAGCTCCACCAAACACTGTCCACCATGGGTAATCATTATGGCATTTGACACTCCAGTGGTATAGGGTAACCCCAGGTTACATCTGTACAGCAAATTAACAGACCAATGCTATACCACTTAGAAGAATGTTCCTCCAAAATATAGTAACATCAGGTGTGAGGGCCACAGGCCCTTGAGCCCAACAAACATTTAAATACAAAGGCCCTCCACCAGGTCCTGTTGACTCTCAACAAGAGGCTTAAATAAAAATCAACCAAACGTTATACAACTCATAATTTTGTTGTTGTTTTTATGTGCCATTGACTCACCTGCAACCCATAATGACCCTAAGCACAGCAGCTCTGAACCCTACCCTATCCTGGACCAGTTTCACTAATTCTGACACAGCAACCCTCATTGCCCCAGTCACTGTATCAGTCCATCTCATCCAGGGTCTTCCTCTCCTGCACTGTCCCTCCATCCTTCCAAGTATGATGTCCTTCTCCAAGGACTGGTCTCTCCTGGCCCATGTGCCCAAAGTATGTGAGACAGAGCTTCAAAATCCTAGCCTCCAAGGAGAAACTTGTTTTAACCCTCTCCAAGACAGACATATCCTGTCTTGTACTAATATATAAATGGCAGCACAAAATTTTAAAAAAAATAAATAAAATTTGTTCATTATCTTTGAATCCTCTCTCCCAAATTTAACATGTACCACTAACAAGTCCTATGAACTTTATTTTTAAAGTACCACAAGTCTAATTTTCTTAGTTTCTATTAACATTCAAATTACCCAGCATATACTTCTAGAATAGGTACCAAATTGTTTGATCCAAATAGCTTTTTGCCAAATAACCACCCTAAACTTTGTGGTTTCAAATTTTATTTATTTTCTCTTTGTTAGTCGGACAGTTCTGACCATGGTTGGTGTGGGAATGGCCAAGTCTGATGTCTACTAATTCCATAAGGGGGAACTGCTGCCATCAACAATATCTACAGTACAAACCAGTTCCTATGAGGTCAGGACCCCCCACCCACAGTTTCATATCTATTTATACTAATTTATACCAGTCCTATTGGGTCCAAAATCTGTTGAAATAGCTACTCAGACTTTACAGAAACATTCTTATGATTAAGGGGTTTATTAGGAAAGTTAACAGGTTACAATTCAGGCTGGCAACAGGACATAGTCTCTCCATCAAAATGGCTTCAAATATGTGCTTGAAGACCCCAATCCTTCAGTCTTATGGCTTGAGTCCAGTTTATAACATTCTCTTAGTCCTGTCAATAAAATGCACCCCCCCTCCAGCCTCCAACAATCTTGGGCAAAAGCTCCTAGCTCTGGTTCCATGGAGTAGTAGTCCCAAGGTCAACTCTGTCTCACAGTGAATCTCTAGTTTAGGGAAGAAAAAGTTAGGTAAGAAATGACTCACACAGCTGTTGATGATGTCGGTGGGCCACATGCTTGCAGGGCAGGTATTTCTGAGGCTGTTGGATAAGGTTAGAAATGTTGTCCCAGGCAAGAGGAAAAAGAGTGGCAATCTCAGGTACAGACTCTTTGTAGGAGCGATGGAGTATAGATCATACCTTCAGAGAACTAAAGGTGGTAACTTCAGTCTTGCTTTCTGGTAGGGTGGAGCCTCAGATATATCCATTCCATTTGCATACCTTCTTGGCTATGTAGCAAGGCCAAACACAGTAATAGACCCCTTACACCACAGGCTTCTACTTCTAAAATATCCCAAGTCTAACTTTCTTAGTTGCTACCACCTTACACTAACATCCAAGTCATTTTCTGTCATACGCTTCTAGAATAGGTTCCTAATTGATTCAATCAAATAGCCTTTTGCCATATAACCATTCCATACTTTGTGGTTTCAAACATTCTTTTTTTGCATTCTGCTAGTTGGCTGGACAATTCTAGTCAGGGTCAGTGTGGCTAGAGTGAGATGGTTTAGGAAAGACTCGCATACTTGGCTGTTTGCTGAATATCAGCTGAGGTACAAGCTCAATGTCCTTCATGATCCATCAGGCTAACCCATACACTATCTTAGTGGTGGTGGTGGCCCAGGATTCCCAAGATGCCAAGAGGGCAAACCCCAGCTCACAAGTGCTCTTCAAACTTCTGCTTGTATAATGTTGATTAATGTTCCATTAGCCAAAGCAATTCACAAGGCTAGCATAGAATTAAGTGAGAAAACAAGGTCCTCCCAAAAGGGCTTGGAGGATGAAAATAACATTTACAAACTACACTCCTCAGTTTCAACAAGCAAGTTTATGCAATCTGCCATAATACAGGTTATTGATCAGTCTCCCTCCAATCTTGAGGCCACTATAGAGTCCAGCTTCTTGAATAATTTGCTCAACATACAGATAGAAAAAGTATGGAGAGATAATACAACCCTGACCCTTCTTAATTTTAAACCATACAGTGTTACCTTGCTCTGTTCTTGTAACAGCCTCCTGGTCCAGGTATAGGTTCTATATGAACGAAATTAAGTGCTGTGGGATTCCCATTCTCTTCAATGAAAGTGAGGAGGACTTGAAACACCTGTTGCAGAAGACCAAGGAATGTAGCCTTTGTTTGGATTGCATCTCAATGCCAAGAAAAAAAAATTCTTACCACTAGACTGATAGGCAACATCATGATGGCTGGAAAGGAGACAAAGTGGCAACAGCTTTATCTTGCTTGGATCCACTATTAACTCCCTTGGTACCAGCAGTCAGGAATTAAGGAGAAACATTGCATTGGGAAAATCTGAAGTTAGGGACCTCTCCAAATTATTGAGGAGTAATGATGTCAGATTTGAGGACTAAGGTGCTCCTGATTCAGGCAATAGTCTTCCCGATTACTTGTTATGCATCTAAGAGCTGGATAATGAATAAGGATGACAGAAAAAGAAGTGACATCTTTGAGCTGTGGTATTGGAAAAAAGCACTGAGCATCCCATGGATGGCCAAGAGAACAAACAGATATGTTTTGGAGAGGGTGCAGCCAGAGTGGTCTTTGTAGGCAAGAATGATGAGGTTTCATCTCACATATTTTGGGCACATTGCTAGGAGAGGCTATTCCTTGGAAAGGGACATGATGCTGGAAGGGGGGAGAATTGGCAAAGGAGAGGAAGATCTGGGAAGGGTGGAGAATTGGCGAAGGACAGGAAGATCCTCAACCAGGTATATTGACATTGTGACTGCCACAACGGGCTCTTATGTGTCATGAAGTGTAAGGATGGCACAGGATAGAACAGGGTTCAAGTCTTTTTGTTCAGGGGGTCGCCATGATTGGTACTTGACTTAATGGTACCTCACAACCACCACCACACTACTCTTCCTGTTTTCACCTTTCCCTCTCAGAAATCCATTTCCCACAGCCATCTTTTAAGCACATACTCAATTTCATTTTCTGGCTTTAATCCTCCTAGGCTTAATATTGTTGTGAGTCATACTCCACTTGATGACACCTAACAATGATGATGACTTTAACAAGCTTTACTTGCTCTGACTTCTGGCCTTGTATCCAACTCCTGTGATATTTCCCCTTTCCATGATATTACCTCTCTGAATATAAATGCCTTCTGGCATTCTTGTTCTCTCCATTGGGTTTCCTAGGCCGTAAATCATTTGAGCCATCTTTCTTCTGAAGAGCCACTTCCAGATTTGGACTAGAGGTGCCTTTGACTTTGCAGGACAACTTCCTGTGGACTATGCCAATAGAACCTTGATATATACCCAGCTCTGGTGACCTAGTGACAAGAAGTAGCGCTGCAATCTCAAAGACACGCAGTTCGAGGCCATTGGCTGCTCTGATTAACTGCCTCTGAAAACCCTCTGTAGGCCAGCTGTACGTTGGTTTTGACTTGAAGGTAGACAACAATATGCAAAGGAGGTCTAGTGAGTTAGAATGAATGGTGATTCCAATCCATTTAGCCTTTCTTCAGGACAAATACGGGAAATCTCTCTTTTTATAAAGGCTTACAGCCTTTGAGATTGGATGAAGGCTTGAATTTTTCTTTTTTTGACCTGTGTGCTGGTCTGGTTTTCTGTTACCCAGATGTTTCCATTTCATCCAGAAATTTTCAGTGTGCTTTCAGTCTAAAATTACTCTCAATTCTATGTTCATTAACTGCAAATGGCACACACCAGATCTTCCTTTCTCTCTCCTATTTATCACTGTGTCCTCCGCGTCAACACTGAACAAGTATTTATAGTCGTTATAAATGCTAAGGCATTTACTATGTTCTAGAGTCACTCTAATCTGTGAAGCCTCCACTCTTCTTCCTATCTCAGTAGGACAGTATCACAGATTGTAAAAACACACGCTGTGAATTAATTAATGTTATACTCCATGGTCCACCTGCAACCATCCTTCTTCGAATTCACCTCTCTTCCTTTTAAAACCTCAGTGAGGATGGGATTTAGACATTTTCGGGTCACCACTATGGCCTTCTGCCAAGTTGCAATGGTTTCAAAGGTTTCAACATCCCATAGCAGTACCAGTAGGACCAGGCAAGGTCGGAGTGAAGACTTCTCTAACAGCAAGGGCAGGCGGGGAAGGAGCCAGCGGAAATGCGCCGCACTGCATTCTGGGAACTGGAGTCCTCATCGAGAGGCCAGGTTTGGCCGATCCAGGAACCGCACGGTATGCTGGGAGCTGAAGTCCAAGGCTGAGAAAAACACCGCGACAGAGGACCAAGTTGTCGAAACTCCCCCTTAGCGCTTCAAGCAACAAGATGCTAATATTCCCTTAGAGCCAGGAGCCGCGGTCTTTCTAGGAGCTGGCCAGCATGGTACACCGGCACGGAAAGAGCCGCCATCTTAGGCGCCAAGGTGCTGCGGCCGGGGAAACAGCGCGCAGGCGCGGCCGGCAGGCTGGGCCGGCCCCGCCCCCGGGCCCCGCCCCTCGCTCAGGCCCCGCCTCTCCCACGTGTCCGCCGCTGAGGGGAGGTGCCTGAGCCCGAGAGGGCCGCCACCGGTCCGGCGTTCACGCCAGGCTCCTGTCGGCGGCGCCCGCAGCGGCCCGGCTTCCTGATGCTCCTGAACCGGCTGCTGCGGGCCGGGCTGTGCGCTTAGTGCCGGGCTCAGGCCCTCCGGAGGCGCCGGCGGGGCTGGGAGTGGCCTCCGGCCCCGCGGAGACGGAGCGCGAGGACGACACGGTGGCTGCGGAGAAGATGGGGGCTAACCAGTTAGTGGTGCTCAACGTGTACGACATGGTGAGTGCGGCACCGGAGACCCGGCGTCCTCTCCAGGACTTGGCTCGGGCCCCAGGCGCTTCCTGCCCGGCATCCCCGCCTCCAGCTTAGTCCCGGCGCGTGGGGGGAGGGGAAGAGGCTATATTTCGTCCTCGCACGGTCAGCGCTGCCTGGTCACACGAGGACTGAGGCCGATCGTGCCTCTCCCACGACCTCCGCCCGGCTGGACCCCGGGCAGGGCCCGACGAGCAGGTGCCCTTTAGGTCGTGCTCCCCACCCCCACCGCCCGCGCCGGCGCTGCCCCTCTGCTCCCCACCATCTGCACGCCCCCTTAACTCTTTTTCTCTGGAACCCTCCATCTCTTTTCATGCCCAAGTCCTCAAAATCCCCTAGGCCCCTCCAAAGTCCGCAAAGTCCTGGCCGGCTGTGCCTGTTCTAGAATCTCTTCCAAGTGCCCAGGAGCCAGCATCCACTCGCCTCCGAGGCAACCTCGAGAAAATGATGAAAGCTCGCATTTCTCGGCAAGATCTCACTCGATCTTCTTCCTGAGGTTGCAGTGGCAACTCTTCTCCCAGATTCTGGGGCCCCTTTCCAGGTGGTGCAACAGGTAGATGACGTGACAGTAGGGAAGAAACTTGTCCATTATGTCATGGAACTTAGGCGAGCTGCAGCTTACAGCCCGCAGCGCGGAGCGCGCACAAGTAGCAGTGCACTTGAGACACTCGAGAAAAATCGCCGGTCGGCGTCCTTTGCACGCAGTTAGGCGCGTGTTTGGGGCTGGATTAGTTTTTGTTTTGTACAGAACAAAAGTTACGACTCTTAAAGATGTACAGTTCCTGACCAGTGGACTGACAAAATGCCCTATCATCTTTTGTGCTGGTTGAAAGCTGCAGATGCACCCACTTCAAGGTTAGGATTCTTGGTTCTTATTCACATTATCTGAAGTGGACCAGAAGCCTTTGAACTTTTGGTTACTCTGGATTGTTTATAAATTGTACATTTGCGGCGTTACATCGTTGGGTAGAAATACCATGAGGACTAGGGCCGTCAAGGATGAGACCCCATTTGAGTTCTCCTGTTAGAGCTTACCTGGAAGGAGCGGACTTAATTTGCTTAGCAGAATAAGGCAAAATAGAACAATTTAGAGAGGAAAGCCCAAGATTATAGAAATGCTAGAAAAACATTTTTGGCCTGTGGCATTAAAGAATTATGTAGGTTTTTAATTTTTGCGTTCAAGATTCTATATTGTCTGCATACTATTTACGTGCCTTCCGATCACTCCACAGTGCTCCGAAGTATGGTTCCTTCTCTTCCACATTTGTTACACCTCTTTGAAAATTACCCTTGTTGCAATACACTATGGTCAGAGGCAGCATTTTCAGGGCCTAAAGAAATCTCTAAGATCAGGAATACACTATGGTCAGAGGCAACATTTTCAGGGCCTAGAAGAAGTCTGTAAGGTCAGGAGGAGAGAGAAGTTTTGGGTGATGTTTTTTAAAAATACAAAACAAAACCCTTGTTATTAGGTGCTGCTGAGTCGAGTTGATCCATAGTGACCCTATCTACAATAGATCGGAACCCTGTCTTCTGCGATTCTCACACTCCCTGACACACTAGAGCCCACTGTGGCAGTCACTGTGTCACTCCACCTGGTTGAGGGTCTTCCTCTCTTTTGCTTACGCTCCTTTCCAAACATCATGACCCTCTCTAAGGAATAACCTCTCCTGGCAACATACTCAGAGTATGTGAGGTGAAGCTTTATCTTTTCTTCTAAGGAGCTCTGGCTATTTGTTTAGTACTCTTCTCCAACACCACAGCTCTAAGGCATCAACTCTTTTTCTGTCATCCTTATTCATTGTCCGTCTCTTAGATGCATAGCAAGTGATCAGAAAGACTATGGCCTGAATCAGACACACTTTAGTCTTCAAATTAACATCGTTGCTCCTAAATAATTTGAAGAGGCCACTGAGTGCAGACTTCCATGTTGCAGTACGTCTCCTGACATATTTTTAAAAAGACAAAACAACCTAAAAACCTGAAAATACACTGTCATAAGCTGTCTTATGAATCAGGAAAATAAATCATTGCTGATTATAAACATGTGAAAAGACAGAGATAATAAACTATATTTTTGAGATGTTCTGAAAGATGTTGAGAATATGAATCAGTTATAGCACTGTGCAGAGAACAAAAAATAAGATCTAGAATTTCTCGGTCACTTTCTGGTCCATTATCCTTTCTACAGAATGATTCTCTGTTGCAGACCGAGGGTCCCAAAGAATAGAATAATTTTATAATAAAGAGACAAACAGCCAGGAATGAGATAGAGCAGAGAGCGTAAAACAGGGGGTCAGCAGTTCTCGACTGAAGACCTCGAGCCATGCTTCTCTGAGTATTTATATAGAATCACAAGGAAGTACAAAACAAAGGATAATGGTGAAATCTTTTACAGATAAGGCCAAGTTCCTCTTTATGTTAATCTCAAGAGGGAGGGATTCATTTGATAAAAACTAAGAACAATGTTGACTCCTAAGGAATGCCCCAGTGTCACAAGGTGACCTTCAGCTTGTATAAGTCTCCCTCATTTCCCGATACAGCATTTGGTCTACTATTATTAAATTTGATATTCAGCTTCCCTCAATTCTCCTAACCTGTATTTTTAATAGAATGCTTTTTCTTCCTAAAGGAGCTCTTACTCTCTTTTTTCTACTGACAGCATGCTGTAAGGTCTGGTTTTAACCCTGTCTTTCCAGGGAACCTTCTCCCTCTTCCCTCTTTTTTTTCCACTGTAACTGTTTTGCATGGTCCACCTTTCACTAACTCTACCTCTACCTCTCTTACTGCTTTAATAAACCTTTGTTACTTGTTTTGCTAAATTGGGGGAAAGAAAAAGGATGTTAAGGAGCATATATAAGTGTTAATCAGAATGGTAAATAGTTGAAATTTAGACTTATAAACTTGCCCTTATACGATCTTTTGAGGACTTTCAGTCCATTCTTTGGCACTGTTTCAGAAACCTAAAATTATTTACTTAATCTTGACTCTGAATAATCTGTAAATGAGTGCTATCCTTCTTTAAGGAATTTAGAATACGAAATATGTTGTAATGTGTCAAGTTGGAACCAGTTCATAGCTGACACTCCAGCGGGTTTTCAGAGACAGTAAATCAGACGGAGGGAAACTGCCCATCTTGCACAGAGCGGCTGGTGGATTCGAGCCATGTGTCTTTGGGTTGACAGTGCAGTTCGCTCCTTACCACTGAGCCACCCGAGCTCTTTAAATACAGCACGGGAGATGAAAATAGTAACAGTACAAGACAACAGAATGCTTTTGGTAGGGGCAGAAAAGATGCAGAGAGAACTACATTTGGTTGTAGGGTCAGGAGAGACTGGGGAAAATACACCGAGTGACACTGGAAAGATGGAGAACTCCACAGGCAGAGAACTTGAGTGAGCAGAGTAGTGGGTGTGGGAATGCACAGGGTGGCCTTGGGACAGATGACACGGTCCTGGTTAACAAGAAACAAGTGAAAGTGCTTAAAACATGGCCCTTCAGGGGAGGGCTGGGAGCCCTTTAAAGTTTCCATGAAGGAAGCAGTCTAATCAGAGCCGTGGGTTATGTACACATTTTGATGGTTGTACACGCCACTTTTGGTCTTTCATTTTTTGCTTAACTCCCAGGGGAAATTCCTTTCATCTTTGGTTGTACTTCTTGTTCCTCACTGATGCCTTTGATGAGGCTTGCTGTCGTGCATGTGATCTAATACCAACTGCACAAACCTGAAAATCAACGTTGGCCTTGACATTGTCATCACTGTTTATAGGGCCCTCTGGCCATGTGGCCTGGTGCTCCTTTGCCTGCCACAGTCTTTTTCCTGGTTCACTGGCTTGGGTGCTACTGAGAGTTCCTGGTTTCCCATAGCTACCATGTATTTGGAAAGAATAGGGTTTGTATCACCTGTATTAACTTCCTTCTTATGGGCAAATGGTGTCATTGTCAAAAGGTTACTTTGTCATGTATACCTGTGGCCTTGGAATTGACGCCAACTTACAGTGACCATATCAGATAGGGTAGAGTGGCCTCATGGGATCTCCAAGATTGTCAGTCTCCAGGGAAGCAGAAGGATGGCTTGGAGGTGTTAACTGCTGATTTCTGCACCACAGGGGCTCCTTGTAATCATACATCCAAAAGCCCACTAGTGTACAGTTGATTCTGACTCACAACAACGCTCCGTTGTTTTTTTTCCAAAACTGGAAAGAAATATTAACAGAATGGGTATATCTCGTCTTTCCCCTGCAAGGTGGCTGTCGGTTTCAAATTGCCACCTTAGCAGCTAAGCACTTACCCTGCTTTGCCCTTTCTCATCCTGAATGCCTCCTGCTCTCCAGTGGATTCCACCTCATGGCAGTCTTCTGCTGGGTTTCCAGAGCTGTGACTCTTCATGGGAGGAGACTACCTGCCGCATCCTTCTCTGCATAGAGACTGTATGCTGGATTCAAACCCCTGTCCCTTGCAGTCCAGCACATTACTCGCTAGGCCGCCAGAGCCCCTTCCAGTCTGACATGAACAGATTACTGTTTGCTGCTTTCAGACTGGTTTTGTTTTTCAATGTGCTTTGGAGTAATCTACCACTAATAAAACATGTCCTGGAGTTGTTTTGTGTGTCTTAGGAATTGAAGCTTTTCACATGTCCTTAATCTGATGGCATACCTAGTAAAGCAGGTGGTCCAGATTCCTTCCGGTTTTCGTTCTCAGCCAGGTCACTTTAGGAATAGACTGTCATGAAAGTCTTGGGTTTTCATCATCCAGAGTTTGTACTTTTTGAAATTATATTGGCTGCTAGATAATTTTTATGAAGAATATATACTAGTATGAAAGTATATTCTATCAACAAATGTTTTACTATTTTTGAGTAGACTTTAGGCACTTGATAGTAAAGAAACTCCTTCTGGGACTCATAACTAAGGAAGCTGGGGTTTTGATTTTTTATCTTGACTGTTCTTGACTGTCCTGTGCCTGCC